TATTTGCAGTACACATTAGTCCTTTTTTATGCCAACTTAGTAGGCCCAGCGCCCATAGAAGTGCCGTAGGTATGGCGGTGGCGTGCATGGTTCTGACGCGTGGCGATGGCTATGCCAGTGTAAATTAGGAAACGCCCATCGAGATGAAGCGGCAGATGCGCAGATCAGGTATACCATATCGTAACCACTAGTGGTGCATTGAAAGCACCGGCGGCGTGGCGGTGTCGTGCCCTTTCAGTACAAGGCATTTCGACATAAAGACTTGTGTTTTTCAATAATGCGGGACGATCTACAATTTATTATCAACTTGAATTAATTGAGTCAAAACCATGTTTATACGACTGTAATCGACCAGACTACAGCAATAGAAATGCTCAAGATGTAGCCTGGAACGAAATCTAAGAAAGGAAGCACGAAATATCGTCTTCTTTACATATTATTTAACTGCCCTAGCAGGTACGACATTTTACAAAATAAACAAACACCTTACGACGGATCTTGTTCTATTTTTTGCCACCTCAGTATGCGTTAAAACACCAGATAGCGACCACGCCGCAACCATACCGCTGCCACGCCATAAGCCTCCACCACTTCTGTGGGCGCTGGGCCTTAGGCACCAGTCGTGACGCCACTTTTATTTTTGTGTGCTGTTTGACGCAAAAGGAAGGCCCGGTAATGTAACAAGGACGTCACCAAGAACACATTTCCCTCAAGAGAATAAAATGCTGACTGGGAATATAGTTACTTCTATAATGCAACCCTGTTCTATTCGAATATCGCTATATTTATAACTAAACATATAAATAGGGTTTGAGATTATTTTCACTGAAGACATATAGCTTAAATTCATATTAATTAAAATTCTAAAAGCGAGCCGCAAAGAAAATATGGAATTGAAAACAGTTGCCTTAAAGGAATACGAATTTATCCGATCCAAAAAAAAGCGCAAACAGGCCAGAAGAAAAGGCACAGAAGGAGGAAGGAAAAACTTTCTCCATTTCCCAAATTGACTTTGAAATATAGCGCCACCTGCAAATACCAATCGTCGTAAAAATTGGGAAGAGCCCCGTGAAGGCGACGAGTTAAATTTTTAAATTTTATAAGACAAAAAGGCGTCTTCTTATTTTCGAGCATTAAGAGCGTCGGCTATAAGAATCGGGAAAAGCAAAGATAGATTGGGAAAAAATTGGTTCTTAGGTTTTATTCTTTTAGGAATCTTGGGCATAAATTAAATGACTAATAAGGAAAAATTGACATTCCTGTAAAATGCTTTAAATTTTCGTGGATTGAGATATTACAAATTGAGGACAACAGTAGGAAGTCATTTAAAATACTTTTTTTATTAATTTCGCGACAAAATATTGTATACCCAATGTGGCGTAGCATGATCTACCGCTTACTAACAGAATTAAGTTAGCAATGATTACAGGATTTTCCATTTTGGTTGAAATCATACGGTATCTCCATTATTAGTTAAGATAGAAGGGCGCGGTTTGCACAAACCTATACCACCTTTTTGTCAAATGGAAGATGCCGTATACAAAATTTTTATAACTCTCTTCGTTTTTGAGCTACAGAGTCTTTTTGAAAATTTTGCTATTTGGGACACCGCCTGTATCTCTGTTATTGTTAAAGGCTGCTATTGTTAAAGATAACTAGAAGGTAAAAACTATTTATTATAGAACTTTTTATGTGGAATACAGTGCCACAGTCTGTTATTCTACGAAAAGAATATTTTTAAAGATATAAATTAAAGTTATGTTTTCTTAAATGGAACACCCTGTATATTTATAAATTATATGATCTGGCTTACGATAAGCTTCTCAAAAACATATATTACTCTATATTTAGTTTCATTATTTATTGCAATATTTAAAAGTTTTTATTAAAAGATCATATTTTATTTATTAGTAGGCCATGACTGATAATAAAAGAAACTAAAGAATTCTTAAAGGTATATACTGCTCCTGTTATATTTTGGGAGCCACTAATAAATTATTTATATATTAGGGAAACTTAACTCTCTACCGCTATTTGTAAATCTTGGAAGCTATCATACCGGAACTTTTAGATTTTTACCTAATTTACACAAAACATACTATCAGCAAGATGGGGTTTTCTCTCACAACTTTGAAAATATTAGAATTTTGTTAAATTATTATTTCTCAAATCAATGAATTAGAACCAATGGACTCATATGATGGTCTCCATGATTCCCGGAACTGTCCGTTCTCGATTTCTAATTTTGGGGATTTTTGAAATATGAAATACATCATGGCAACTACAACAATGTTGAACACCTGGAAAATGCTTCAATAATGCAAACTTTTAGATATTTGCAAAGTACTGCAAACCCATGCCGTTATAAAAAAAGAAAAATATATTAGAGTTTCAGTGGTGACAGTTCAGAAGTAAAATATATCAATCCGAAGAAAATTTTATTATGTGTATGTGTATTTTAGTAAATACCATTTTGATTTTTGTGTTATTTATCATCGCCTACTAGTAAAAAAGTGATATTCTGTAAATGATATATCTTAGAAAAAACAGACTACGCCACTGTATTCTACGTAAAAAGTTCTACAAGAATCAGTTTTCACCTTCTCGATATCATCCACAATAACGGAGATACGGGAGCTGTCCCAAATTACAAAATTTTCGAAAAGACCCTGTAGCTCAGAAACGAAGAGGGCTATGAAAATTTTGTTTGTATCATCTTCCGTTTGACATAAAAAGTGGGAAAGGTTTGTGCAAACGGCATCCTCCTATATCCTCATAATGGAGATACGGTATGATTTAAGTCAAAATGGGACATCCTGTACAAAATAAGAAATGCAAACATTTTCAAATCTAGAATGTCAACATCTCTCTGTTCTATATACTTATTTTAAATACTGTATAAAGTGTTTTTCTTCTCTGAAACTAAAAAAATGTAATAATGTACTAACATTCGATAACACACAATACATTCAAAGAATACTGCTGAACCAACGAATTTTCCTCAGTGCCAAATTCCGAGTTTCAAATAAATCGCAATTGGGCTGCTTTCCGCAAACCTATCAACCCTTTAAAGCTCCGTTCGCTTTGTTCATCGCCACGCCATGAATCTCAATATATCAATTACCGTCAATAAAAGACACTTTAATCCTCTCCTAAAGCAACGGAATTTCATTACTTGTGACCGCGAGCTTTCGATTTCAATTAAACTAGAAAACCTTTGCCGCGGATCTAACTGATAAAGACGAAGGATACTGCTGTCATTTTGATACTAATACAGGGTCATACTAATACAATGTGCCAAAAGGCTCAATATCAGGTACTTTCTTTGAGATTTTTACTTCAGTTTTACTTGTAAAGTATACAAGCAGTAGTAACGCAGATTTTAAAAATATTTGTTATACAGTATTCCATTATGATTATTGTTAGTTCCCAGTAGATAATACGCAGAAAAAAAATTGTTTCCTTTCAAGCCTTCCCAAACACCCACGATTTTTTTTCTGCGTTATATATTATGTTCCCGGTAGTGATAGGTTGTTATTTAACTAGCTGTTATTTTATAACAATTATTTAGAAATAACATAACGCAACCATTACTACTTTTAAAAAATAACAGATATAAAATAACGATACGCAGAGATCGACCGTTCGTGAAACGAAGTCGGCGCTCTGCACCGCCACGAAATTCGATGCTGCTCGAAGCAATTCCAAAAAACAACTAGTATGGATTATGGATGGAAAACACGTTATTTCGACAACCATCGATACAGGCTGCGAGATACAACGGACAACGGAGTGTGAAATGCGCTACGGCGCGGCGCGAACGTAGCTGCATCGGTCGATGGTCGTATGGGACTTGCAACAGCTTAAAAATAATAGGATATAAAAGAAGCAGCTTTTTTGAAATAGTTGCGGGTATAACGCCTGTCGGTCGAGATAACAGGAGTGGGAAAGAAACCTACTGCATCGGTCGATTGTCGATGGAGGCTCGCAACGGGTTGGAGAAGCAGTCATTTTAGATCCATTGTTTTTTAACCAAAAAATTTCGAATTTTCAAAATTTCTTTTTCGCGAAAAAAAAAATGGGGTTGAACTATACTACCAGTTAAAATATTTGCACTTATTTCTGGGACACCCTGTATATTAGTTTGTAAATTATGATTTATTCTTTATAATAATGAAGACCGTATAATTTTCTACATATTCCTATTGAAAATGCAATTTACTTACATTTTATTTAATATAAAATACGTCATTATTTTATAAAACTAAATTACGTTGGGACTCTATTAGATATTGCGTTACTTTTAATTATTCGCAATATTTGTTACAGTTTCGAACTCGGTCAGGGTTATATCGATCTGCAGTAAAACCAAAATTTTGAAATATAAATTACTTTTATTAGAGCTCTCTGAAGTAATTTAATAAAAAATAGTTTAATTAATAACTAAATTTATTATTACAAATTTTGTATAAAACGTAATATTAAATAATTTAAAATGAAATTAAATTTTAATAAGAAATATTCTATAAAAACCGTTTACTAAAAATATCCGAAATCGCTTAGTTTTAGCTAGATTAGTACTTTTAAAATGAATTAGGAAATATTGGTTTTATTTTATTTGTTATGGTGGGTTTTTAAAAACCAAACCAAGCCAAATAAAATAAAATAAATATGGAATTCTTATTTGTGAGTATTTATATAGCCAAATAAAATAAGAAATATGCTCAATACGCTGCAGCTAGTTAAAGTTAATGATTGTTTATAATAATTTTACATTTATAGTACACTTATTTATTCTATGCATAATATATTATAAATTTATACTTATGTGAAACACTGAAGCAAGCGCAAAGCCGTTTTCGCATAGATAGCCAACTCTTATTTTAAGTTATTTTAGCTGTCTGAAGGCATATATAGTTTTCCATATAACCAACATTCTTCTTTTATAACCATCAGACATACATTGTTTAAAATTTTAACAGTATTTTTTTTAATTTCAGATCACAGGTGAGAAACTTTCATCTAAAAAGACACGAGATATTTTTTGGTAAGAATAAAATAGTTTTAGATAATAACTTTTCTATAATAAAGCAAATACCACCAATTTAAAAAAAAGCTTGTTGAAATAAGATGGATATTATTGTGTAAAAAAATATAAATATTTATGTTACAAATAATAAAGAATTGAGAAATATAAATTTTATACAAAATTAACTTTAATTTCTCTCAATATATTTCTAATAATGTGATTTTTTTATTCAAAATGATTGTTCTTAGAATTACAGCACCAGGATTCAACTGCTATTAATTTTTTCTACATAAAATTGAAAATATACTTCCAATTTTCCTTTTTCAGTTTTTCAAAATATCCTTTCAATGCATTTTCTCAGAATTAGAAATTCTATTAGTAGGTAGGGTAATAGGCGATAAAAAGGTGACAAGTAATTTTTAACTTGGTTCACAATGTTGGGTTTGAACAAAAACTATTGAATTGCATATGTCAATAATAAACTTTTACTGGCAACCTTAGGTAAATGTTATTTTCACTAGCGAATGTTAGAAATTACTAGAAAAAGTTGATAAATCTCTTTAAAATGTCAGATTCACTGGTCCACTGCGTAATTGCCAGCATTTCCTAGTGAATCTTAAGAATCACTGAATTTCCGAATTTCACTGTAACATATACGATTGTATACCTGTCGATCAGCAATCGAAATGACAAAAATTATAGACATTTTAGTAAAACTGTTTGGAATATTCTATTTTTTATAGATGTCCAACATTATTTACTAGTAATTCACTCATGTTCGAATGGAGGTATACCAATAGAATTCATTCGCTTTTACTTTGCCAGTGACAATAAATTAAATGCTTAAACCCCCAAAAATTAATAATACAGTACAACCTAAGACGAGAAAGCATGTTGGCAGGCAGTGAGAGACAAGCAAAACGGCCACGTATTTCTTTTATTAACTGTCTAGAGAGCAACGTCTTGAATAATAAGCCTTCGTAACTGACGAAATTAGGTTATTTAATATTATAAAAGTACATTAAACAGAGAGGAAGGAAGGGTAGGAAATTTAGGGGAAGAGAGCCAAAGAATTGTCTACTGGAACCATTTAGATTCCGGAAGGGATGTTCAGCATTACATAAAACAAGAGAAAATCCTTGCAAAGTCCCGTATTAAATTAAATTGAAAGGTAGGAGTTATTAATATAGTTGCGATGTTTCGAATAGGTGAATATTTAATCGTTATCAACCCCCCAAAACCAACATTATTTTTCAAGGCTTACGGAAGTGTATGCAATGGACTTGAGTGCTTATTGGAATGCTGAGTCTCTATATCTATTGATGACTAATTATATTCCGCCTCGTCTTGTAATTAAGACATATGATGCAAACAAACGGGGTGACACGAACAAGGACTATTCTACAGCGACACCATCCCTTGTTAAGTAATAACAATGGTTGATGAGTTGCTTACCCCCATCTTGATCTATGAAGAACGTCATTGACGTTCAATATACGCACTTGTATACATCATATGCAGATAAGCGGCACCCTGATCGGGGGTAAGCAACTCATCAACCATTGTTATTACTTAACAAGGGATGGTGTCGCTGTAGAATAGTCCTTGTTCGTGTCACCCCGCTTGTTTGCATCATATGTCTTAATTACTTCGACGAGGCTTCATATAATTAAGATCGAACTTCACTTCCTAAGGTAAGTTCGTTTGATCTTCTAATTATTTTCGTACTAGAAGAGTTTGCCAGATATTACCTCATCATCATCATTTTCAGCTTATTCAACCATTTTCAATTATGGTGTAGCCTCGCTCGCTTTCTTAAATACTTTCTTTGTAGTTGAGCCCATGGTTTTGTCTATTGATGGTAATGTGGGCCCAAGTTATCTCTGCTAATTTCCTAATATTATGTTCCCATCTCAAGTTGGGCCTTCTTCTACGTCTCTTGATTTATAGTGGGTACCATCCTGTAATTTTTGTGGACCATCTGTCTGTCCTTCGCGGCAGGTGTCCTGCCCATTACGATTTGAGGGATTTGACTCTGTGGATGACATCTATTACCTGGGTCTTTTGTCGTATCTACTGTTCTCTTACGGTCTCTCTTGGTTATTCCCAGCATATTTCGTTCCATTGAGCGTTGTGCGACCTGCAGTTTCCTTACGATGTATGTTTTAAGTGTCCACGTATTGCATGCATAGGTCATGACTGGTAGTACACATTGATCAAATGTCTTCTTCTTTAGATAAAGTGGTATTCTAGATTTGAACATGATTGAGTTTCTTCCATAAGTACGCCATGCCAACTTAATTCTTCTGTTTATTTCTGTGTATTAGTTGTCCCAAATATATTTATTCTTCTACTATTTCCAGTGCTGTGTTATTTACTAGAATGTCTTTTCTGTCCACTAGTTTGTTGTACATCGTTTTATTTTTTGTTAAGTTCAATTTGAGACCTCTTTTATTGATCGTTGTATTTAGTTCGTTAATTTGTCGTTATAGTTCTTCAACAGCAAAATCGGAATACTTTACTAAAATTCATATTTTTTCTTCAACTGTGAAACTAAAAGAGCACATACAGTCAAAATTTCAGTCATGTATTCGATGCAGAGTGCAAAGTGGAAATCAAAATGTTCACGTACAGTATTTCCTTAAGGAATTTTCCTTTATATTTATTTCCTTTCGTCTTTTCTTTTGTTAAGCGGACTTTTCCTTTCTTGAAATCGTGACTTCCATGATTTAATTAAAAGAAACAATTCGCTAAAATTGGTTTCTAAATTTTTAAATGTTTTCATTTTACACAAGTGTTTTCATTTTTCACAAGTTTATAGTTCTTTATGTGGCACGTATAGGCTATATTAATAAAATAGTTATAATTCCACTTGATGGCATATAATTAAATGTATTTTTATCAAATTTAATACATTGGTTATGTTAATGACAGGAATTACTAGAATGCAATATTTGATATCGGATTTATATTGATACAACTTTATGTTTTGTTTTCGCCATTTTCTTTCAAAAACATTAACTTTTGACATTAATAATATGCAACAGAAACTCATAGAAGAATGACAAACGTTCTTTTATAGAAATTGAATGTCAAATATATGGGCAAAACTTGCAGACAGCAGATAATCAATTTTTTAAAGGATCACATTTTAATTCAAAGAAAAAATATAATCTGATGTTAATAAGTTATTTCGAAAACCCAATATCATTATATTTTTGTCTGTTTTATCTAAAATGCACTGAAATAAAAGTTTATAGTATATCTTTCCAATCATTATAAAAATAAGCTTTTTATTTTCATAGAAATAATAGTGGAAATAAGTGAAAAATGTCTTTTTTGTTGTTTTTTATATTTGTTTTACCTGAAATGCCTTTTCGTGTATTCAATTCCTTCATGCCTAAATGAGTTAACCAATTTATTTGACCATGTATATTTTATATTTACAGTATACCGAGAGTTGTATCATCCTCGGCATATAATTTTTTCTAAGATGCCTTTTCGTAGTTATCCAAAATAAAAGTGTAGTTTTCCATTAAATGTTGACTTTCTCATGGTGTCATCTTGTTTACGATGTGATTTTTGTATTTTTTTATAGAGTATAACATTTAGGGTGTTTTTGATAGATATCTGTAAGAAGAAACCCATGATATGACATTTGTTATAATATGACGTGAGTTTTATTTTTACCAAGATCAAAGTATATTTAATCGGTTAATTTTGTAATATTTTACGACTTTTAATAATACGTACGTACACACACGTACGATACATTTATATACACATTAGTTATCAAAGGTTAACTAATGTATATTGTATACAAATATGTCCTATAAACTAATAGAAACTATAAGTGATTTATTTTAAGGAGTATAATATATATTACAATTTTTTTTTCTCTATAATAAAATAAAATTCTTTATTTTCAGGCCAGCAACGCAACTCGCTGTATGTGTCTGTTGGTTCTTGATATGCTCTAGCAACTTCTCTATAAAATAGAATTGCATTAGACGGTTAAAACTGTTTTGTTATTAAATATGTTCCATTTGGAGCAGAATCGAAATATTTCTCGTCACGTAAGTCCCCACCAGCGTGGATGATTACTTCTAATTTTCCGTTCTTTTGTGTCCAGTTCCTCATATTGTTCAATTTAACTCTTTTGTGGTAAGAGACACATATTGGTGTGCATTGTATAACGGCAGTTTGCTCCGTCGTCCTCGTCAAAATTGCCTCGTTTATTTTTTGAATGGGCATTGTCCGAGACCCGTTCGATTCAGCTTTATTTATAATCTTATAATTAAGTAACGAGCAGTTTAACTCGACTCAACTGCATTGCAGTCGATAGAATAAGAGTTGCTCGAAACTAATTTGATCAAATTGTCGAAAACATTAATTCGTTCAATTATGTGACGTTATTTGACGAAATTTTGTTAAGAGTTTACTTAAAGGCTTTTTCATTAAATATTATATAATACACAAACAAAAGATTGATAGAAAATGTGCTGATTTAATAAAGAACATAATTTTACAAAACTGATTTAAAGGAATTTAATTTTGTATGATAAAAAATAAAATCAGGAAAACAAATCAATTTGAAGTATTGGATACTATCTTTTTTATTATTATTCATTACATGCCAGTCTTCGTAACTGACGCAATTAGGTTCTTTATACCTTAAAAAGATATTAAATTGAAAGGAAGAAAAAAAATGAAATTAAAAGAAAGAAGGCTAAAAAATATAACTACCAGATCCACTGTTATTCCAGAAGGGATCAGTATATGAGTTTCATATACGTATATAGAAACGGTATTTTTTACTTAATATTTTTTTAGACAATGATATAATATAAGAACCAAATAATGATATGCTATATAGTAGAGCCTATTGTCTACTATATAATGGCTAAATATCTTTTTTTCAAAAAATAAACTTCCTGCAAAGGTAAAGACTTTATACAGAAAGGTTTGAAAGATCAAA